CTGAAAGAGAGTTGACATCAGACTGTGCTAGATATAATCTTCGAAGTTTTTGAAAAAGAGCTTGAATGGGAGTTTGCACTAGGGGGGAGTTATATTGTACTTTTATAAGTCCATGATATAAGGCTAGAAGATGGGAGGACTTAAAAAAATTAGTAGAAATCATCAGAGTTGAATACAGAAAAACTCTAAGAACTGCACATAAGCAGTAATAACAAGCTGAGAAACGCAGAAGGAAAAATGAATACATAGAATACTTTTATTGCAAGTAGAATTTTCATATTAATTTGCAAAAGTACAAACCTTGGTTACAACCTGTTGTCTTAATGCTTTCATCTAGAACACTGACATCTTATTACGTAATAGTCAGCAAGACCATTAGCATTTTCATTAATGATATTGTTGATTTTTCCAGGAATATTTCGCTAAGTTGCCGAAAACTAAAAAGCATTGGACAGGTTTTTAAACACAGAGTTTTAAGTTTAAACAACCTGACGATCTCAAGCAGCCCGTAATGCAAAGAAACGGAAGAACATTAGAAGGATAATCTATTCTCATCGAAAGAGTTTCCTCTTCCAAGTAATGACATCCCTCCTCGTTTCTACCTTCTCTTACTCTAAGAGCTCTTCTCGGATCACGTAAAGCGGCTTTAAACTTCGATTTAAAACGACTTTACATGTATATTTATTGCTTTCACTGTTTATATACATGATTTTATACATTAAATTATTACAATTTTCAAATAAATTATAGTTGAGTTCCTCGAAGGAATTAATCCAAGTAAAGGGATAGAATTAATTCATTTTATATCTTTGAGAAATATTTTATTCATTACCCTCAAAATCAAATTTCGAATAAGATTTTGGAATGCATTATATACCAATGGCAAGTCCAGTTTCATAAAAAAATAGTAGAATCTCTACTACCCTCAGAGACTTTCTAATAGTAAAATATTCTAGAAATTTTCTACTATTTATGTTTCGTGGAATGTGAGATGTGAAAGGAAAACGCAATATGTACAATGAACACGAAAAAAGAAAAGTCGTTTTAATGGTAGATATTTATAAGAAATAATGTTTAGGATTTGATTTACAGACGTTTTCAAATGAACAACCATCGGATGAAATACATGCACCACAACGATTTAAGTGATATGGAAGCTACTCTGTATGTCACATACTTTTGCAGCAAAACCATCATTTCTAGGACAAGATTTTCCGGAGAATCCATTTGCGTGTCGTAAACGTGCTTCATCGTCGTTATGATGCATGTATTATAGTAGCTGGTCGATCAATTGATTAATTCTTGTAAATATCAAACACCATTTCTCATAAATATCCATGATTAAAACAACTTTTCTTTTTCCACGTTCTTCGGACACTGCGTTGCCGCGTTCGTATTTCCCATTCCACTGCACACTGCACGTTTTGTTCTTAAAGAGTATGTAACAAAATGTTTCATTCTTTAACATTTTACAATGTTCCTAAGGCCTCAAGAAAGAAACTTCCTTGGCAAAATTGCTAACGGAAAATTCCTTGCAATCTAAAGCATCTTATTTTTCTTAAGGATACCAAGTGTACTCGTGAGGAAGAACGCATTCGTGCTGATGCGCAACACTGCATTAAAAATATCAATAACTGAATTCTTTAAGAGGTAGCAAATAATCAGAATGCTTAGCATTGCACCTCAGCTTACTTTTCAAGGTCGAAGATGTAAATAAAAATTCATATCTTACAGCATGTTGCATTTAAGCAATCTATACTGTTAAATACTGTATAATCTATACTGTGCGCGTCTCTCTGTTTGTTTGTATATGACATCATCTTCTCTGAAACGGCGGCGAGTTGAGTTCCGAGAGAAGTACTCCCGGATTCCAAAAATTCGTAGGAAGCGATTTCGACCATTCTTGTCTTCATGGGACTTTAACCAGCCCAGATATTAATTAAAAACTCTGATGATACTAATTTTCGCCCCCATTTTTCCGAGTGACAACAAACGCGCGCGCTGCAGATAAAATGCTTTTAATTCGAAAAATGTTGCTACTGGTCGTTTTCAAATTGTAGAGTTTGTTAATTAAATATTTGTAAGGTTTACAAAATACAAAGTAGCATTGTTAAATATTAAACATGTTATTATCATGTGGTTTAGTGCTTGCTAGGCGTTCAAACCGACCCTCTTTCCAATAGTATGATATTATTATCATATATGGTCATATTCTAACTTTGATGAAGGCATGCGATTGCTTAAGACATCATTGTATGTCGGAAAGGTTTCGTTAATGTCAGCACCTTTTATAAATAGCTGCTGGTAACAGCATTTTTGCTTCAGGTTAAGAGAATTGACACGATATGTTATTGCCATGTTAACGTTTTTATTAATATTGAAAAAAGTTGTTATATTACATTAATTTTAAATCATGACGTCATATACATACCTGAAGTATCAAACGGTTTTGCTTCCTGGTTTGGCAACAAAAGAATTATTTATGAATTTGTTGTTGCTTAGAAATAATGAGCTAATTTAATTTATATTAACATTTTTTATGCATTTCTTTTAACATGTACACAGAACTTGTACACTTTGTTTTGGCCGCAGCTCGCTCATCTGGCAGGGTTGCAGCCTAGTATGCTGTAAAAATATGAGAATTCTATAATTGCAATTGAACAAATGTTAAACTTTTACACGTAGCGTAAATACTGTGTATATCTTTTCGTTTTAGCATCTCAGTATTTTTATAATTATAGTATATAAGGTTTTAGGTACAGTTAGTATAAGACTAGTTGTGCACCGCTGACACTCATCATCTCTAAGTGAAAGAGATTGGAGACTTACGTCCTAATTTAACTTTTTAACAACGCCCGCGAAATCTAGGGCACGACTGAAGAAAAAAAATTCCTTTTTGAGAAGAGGAGTCCCATTGGGCACAAAATTACGATGGAGTTCTTTCAATTAAACGTGACAAAATTGTGAAACTTGATTCCTTGTTTTATGCTTAAAACAGTGGTCGCAGTACATATTTTTCATAATGTATTTCATGTTTTTAAATCTTCTGTGGTTAGTTTGCTCCTAGCGTATGCAATTTTTAGGAGAGAACACCTCTGCCGCAAAGCATCACATATTGATCAGGAAAGGAAATCCGAAGATCATGTGTTCTATCCATAGCTTTTCAGGATTCCGAAAATGATAGGACAACCGAATTTACTAATTACTAGTAAATTGCGAGTCTTCTAACCGAATTTGATAACTTCCGGGAGACAATTTTCAGTACCAATTTGAGTAAGTGAATTGTAGCAATGAAGATGTAATCGTTTGTCTATTTTACATTACAATGATTTTATGCTCAAGGACTTCTAGTATTATATCGCCTAATATGTTCATAGCATCTAATAAGAAGCTATGTGAAGCAGACATTTAAAATGTCTATATTAAAAATTTAGTCACCTGATTAACTAGTTAGAAACATTTTACCATAATACGAGCAGTAAATCTAAGAATACAGTGCGTTGTTAGAAGATTTGAGTTATCATATTTACAGTGCGAATGTTAAGGGTTTAGAAAAATATTTACAAAAAAAAAAAAAAAATATTAAATCGAATAATAAATAGAACCCTATTCTACAGAACATATAAACTGTCTTACCATTTAATAGATCCTACTGTATTCAGTAAATTGCTTAATAAATCTACTGTGGTCGGTTGTTCTGAAATTTATATTTGGTTTAAATTTTTGTATAATAATGCTTCTAATATTATGCATCTCTGGATTCCTTATCAAGCATTTTAGAAATTAATGGATGGCTCGTAGAAGTCAACTTTCGAATTGCTTTAAAATTTTTCAGACAGTTTTCCTCAAATGCTGACGAAATAGTTGGCTTTATAGTGGCATTTGTCTTCAGGGGGTTTTCCGAGGGTACCAAATTTGGTAATAAAGAGTAAGAATCGAGATTGCATTCTTTAATTTAATTAAGTCATGGCTAGAATTTTTTTTGCATTTCATATTGCATTCCATAACATCAGATTTAATTGAATTAATCAAGAAAGTAATTTTGTTTCGAACTTCTTTTCATAAGTTGATGTTGCGACAAAGCGAAACTTGAAATGTTTATAATTATGCGACATGATAGCTTCAATGCAACTGTCGGATAAATTTCAGGTGTAAAACTTTGTAGAAGTATTATGAGCAAGTAAAAAGCATTTTATATGATGGTAAGTTTATAATCCTGATATTGAGAAAACATACAAAAATACTGAAACTATTGGTAACTAAAGTTCTAACTAATAGCATAAACTATTTCGGTTTCGTTACCATGAAACCCGAGGGAAAGGGGACGAGAAAAATACGTCTTTACCACATTTATATTAAATTACAAGCCATAATTGGAATTAATAATTTTAACTATTCAAACATGTCGCAATTCAAATAGAGACAACAGAGCATTTATTAGTTGCATTAAGAATTGCCGTCTTTACCAACAGTTACAATGATCGGCATACCTAAAATAACGTTCTGTACATGTTTAAAAAACTAGCAAACAAATATAAATTTAAGTATTTATTTGCTAGTTAATTAATGAAGCCAAATTATCTTTTATTTATCATGACCTCCTTCAATTTATATTAATGTTATTATTATTATTACGTAATATATTCATAGAAATAAATCTTGAGAAGAAGTCATAATTTTTCTTATAATACAGTTAAACTTGCATAAATTTGAGAGGCGATTTAATGAAATTTCCATTAGTTTAGATTATTGTTTTTACTGTTTTCGAACCATTTTCACAGCACCTATATATTTATTATTGATTTCACATTACATAAAAAAACTATTAAAATAAAGTTAAAATAGATTACGTATGTATCAGCATCTAAAACAAAAAAGAAATATATCTGTGGTCTCAAATTTATATTCCATTAAAATTCAGATTTAATTCCATAGGTTTCTGAGATTTTCATATTCAGAAGTACTGACAATATTCACCACAAGTGAATATTTTTCCTTACCTCAGACGCTTCCCGTAGCATACAAAACACCAGCTCCCGGTCGTCAAATCTGCCTTCTCTCAGCGATCACAACAAATTGCTCTCTGTTTTCACTCAGGAGTCGAAAGAGAGAAGTGAAAGACTCAACAAAATCCCTCGGATACTTCCCTGCTGCGAAGTAGATGGGCAGATGAAGAGGGGTCCCCTGCTGTGATCTGACGGAATTTTGGTACGTCCAGGAATCCGGTAGGAGGCGTGCAGATCCGGCTGCTCTCATCCAGCGGTCTGGACAGGATCGTAGGGTGGGGGGAGTTGCTGAAATGAGTTGGGCAGTGACGTCAAGATCGGATCGATCCTGGAGACCTTCCTCGCCTCCTCCTTCTCCTCTACCACCTGGTGCCTCGCACTTGTCGCTCTCTGAGTGCACATGCAAGAGAGACCAGAGGTTCAATGAGAAAAGACCTGCTGCTGCAGGATGGAAACCACTCCCTTCCGTGTGTTATTTTGGACTTACCTCACGTGCGCATGTCTGTGTTCAGGCACTTCGCATGGTCCTAACATCTCTCTACTGTATCGACGGAAAAGATAAAATGATACATAAGATATGAATAATCCCCTATAAGATGAAGAAAGCTGAAGACGAAGCAATTCTTTTTCTTTCGTTCAGCCGCAAGAAAAGTTTGGCTGCTTTACTATTTTTTTTAACAGAGGTTTAACCTCATAGCTTAAGCGAATTTTAAGTAAGGCACCTGTTTATAAAGGCAACATTGGTAACTTCGCGGAGTTTTTTTTTTCTTTCAAAATAATTTTCCTAAGTCGCAAACATTGAAGAATTCTGTAAAATCGCTAACTAAACACATCAAGGAAAGTGATGAAATTCAAAGGAATATGATTTAGTAATGAAGCCAGTATATAGATAATAAATACTAGAAAGTCTGTTTCATAAATTGTAACTAAATTTCTTACACCTCGATACACAACTCCTTTCAAAAACAAGTTTAATCCGCTCTTTTCATATACTTAGTTGATTATTTTCCTCGTTTTGCAAAAAGCATTACATGTTATATGACATAAAATCAAATTGCGTGTTCAAAATAACTTGCTTCAAGTTAATAGTACACTCGCTTCTCTTTTTTAAATATGTATTAAACCTTTCTATTAAAATCAAATCCAAAGAAATTCCGAAACTGGACTGCCGCATAGTTCAAAAACAGCATTAAAAACTATTCTACAATGACGGATGTTAAAACTTACTCAATAATATTGCTGCGTGCGTACGAGTTCGTAATTGGTTGAATGCTCACAGAACCGATAACTTGAGTAAATTCGTTTTCCGAAAAGAAAACAGTTTTCGTATTTTTGTGAAAAATTTCACAAAAAGATTTGTACATCTCTTTTCAGTAAGATAGAACACAATCAGTAGTCATCGCTTCAAACTACTAACAACGTTAAACACAATGCAAAGCTCATCCAAATAGCGAAGCTCGCACAGAGATCTCTGAATTCTCGGAAGTCAACTCTGAACTGAAAACTGAGAACTGATGTTCTGCGGTCTTATATAGTTATTCTCTGGTCTTCGAGAAATCTCTATTACCTTCCATTTCTTGAAATTACGGAAAAGTAAATACGGTTAAGTTGCATAATATAAGGGCAGGATGCGATTACAGTTACACTATAGGGATCAATTAAACTTAGCCAATTGCAGCGTCAGTTACAGTTATACATGGATTGGACCAAAATGTCGCAAGTTTGGCGACTTTTGGTGATTTCTCGATCAGTTTTGCAACAAAGATAAGTCGACAAAACCATTGCCAACTTGGCAATATCTCTCCATTTTAGCGAGATAGCCAGCCCCTGTAACTTTCTTTTCCGCAGAGCTTCACTCTCTTCAGACTTTTCATGTTACATTACGCAGAATTCGTAACTATTTCTTTTTATTATTTCTTATTAATTAATTATTTAGTGCTCTGAAAGTTTGTGGATTTATGCATCTCAATTTTAACAATATTCCCATTTTAAAGCGGCTAGACAAATTCATTTCAAATGTGCTACGCTAGAGCCTTCCCAGCATCGCGCGATCAACAAAAGCGAGACTTTTCTATTTTATTTGTCCGCAGTGTGATCTTATCGTCTGTAGAATCAGTTTCTAAACACGCTCTCCAAATCGGCTCAACGAAGGATTTTAATCGCCTCAGCAAAGGAAGGTCCAGAATTAGGACTTAAGAGTGAGCCCAGTGATTAATTAGATAAGAATTACATATGTCTCTGAATAGCTTGAGATTAAATAGCATTTTCAAAATTTTTCTAAAATATTTCACGCAGCTTCCTGTATTATCTTACACCATTCGAATGCGTACTGAACTTTATCTCATCTGACAAGATAACATGGGATCGTTGAACCAAAAAAGAAAAAGAAAAAAAAAAAAAAAAAAGTTAAATTTTAATTTTGTGCAGTGAAATTTTGGCTTCCTGCCCGCTGACTGAATTGTTTGCTTTGTCGTAGAAACTCTAATTTGAATTGCAAAAAATGTTTTTAACTGTATTTGGTGTTCTATGGTTTTCTGTATTTAGAATTTTTAATAAAGATGATTTTAATTTTGATGTATTTTTGCCTTGTCTCGAAATGAGAACTGAATTGATTGAATGAAAAATATATCTCTAATGAAATTCGATGAAATCAGTTTGAATCATGTGTCGGAAAAATGTGTATAATTTAATAGGCTGTGAAAGGAAGTCCTGTGGTGTTCACGTCAGATTTTTTTTTAAAGATCGAAACGTATTGGAAAAACGCAGGGCCTAGTAGCGTAGATAGCAGCTGTAACGTATAACTCTATTATAAGAATAATACTATTTGTACTAAAGTATTGCTGTTTGAAGTAAGTTTTATCAATAATGGCAGACGTGAATGATATTCTAAGTGGTGTGCTTAATCAAATTTAATAGTTAAGTCTCTAAACAAGTCTGATAATAATTTCTGCGTCAATCGCTTAACATTGGAAGAATGAATAATGAAACTGACAAGTAAGCATATAAACCAGACTAAAATCTGAGTCCACATATTGCTCGCAAAGCGATTCTGGGCGTTTTTGACAGTATAGAAATTAAGTACTTAAATAATTATTCCAGTAACAATTTTCAAAAGGGCCACCCTTATAGGGGAAATTCCATTGTGTATGGATTATCGCTTAAAAACATTCTAGTAGTTATTTGCATAACTAGAAACATCAGTACTCAATCGTAGGGTTGGAGTATTAAATATAGACAAAGTATGTGAAGTCTATTCGCTAAGTTTCTTCACAGTTTTGATCAAAATATCTCCAGGAATGATGTCCAAAAGTCTCATGCGTAATTTTTCCTATTAATAACTTATTGATGGGATTTAAGCTTGGACAAATGTTAAGATAAAACTGTATTGAAATGATGCTTCAGTTACAAATGTCCATAATTTATCCGAGATTCGAACTTAAAAAGACATGAATATTCATTAGTCTCTATGAATCACTATATACCGTGTATAATGGCTTTCAAAATCATAAAGTTGATACTCCAGAATAACTAGTATTTTCTTAACCCATATGCAAAAAGTGAAATATTCGTTTTACAAGATAAATATAGTTCTGAACATAGAATTCGATTTTCCCACAGAAGACGAAAATCATCTTAACTGTGGGTTGTCTGCTTAGAAAGATATCACTACATCAGCAGGTTATTTGCGCGTAAACTAACCAACTTTATTTTTGGATTCAGATACATAAAGCATATATGAAATGCTTTAAAATACGTATACTCCTAGACAGACGCACCACTAAAAAAGAGAGAGAGAAAAAGAAAAAACCTCTGGCTCATTATTTGGGTTCTATGCTCAAAATATTTTCCTCACATCAACTGATTTTTCTTCGTCTGAATGTTTAAAAGTTGTTTTTTAAAGTCTAGCTCTTTTACGGCTATTTTCGGAAAGTTACAAATTATTGGAATCATACACATGGAATCTTGAATAAGGTAACGCATTATGTGGATCCAGACAGCTGAGCTGATAGCTTTTGTATTTTCTTATCAAAGCAATATAACCTCCGTGGATACATTTACGCTTTCTACAATATTTCCTAATTTTTTCTTTTGATCAGTGTTTGTCAAGTTTAAGAACACTGTTATAAAATCAAAATACAGTAGTGAGAAATTCAAAACAACTGCGAGTATCAAATGATATTAAGTGAAGGAGAAAATCAAGTTTAAGCTGTATTGCAAACCATGAAAATGAAGTATTTTAAAAATAAACTTTAGTACAAATTAATATGCACACTTCTGTGGATTCAATGTTTAAAAATTAATTGAAATTACAAAAACAATGAATTCCAAAAGAAACATTTATTTCATTACAATGTATCTGTCTTTTTATGCATAAACGTCAAAATAATATTCGTCAATGTTACTTTTACTTCGTGTATTTTAAAATTAACATTCTCAGAAGCAAAAAACAATTTGTAATGTGTAAAAAAGGACGAATTCTTTTCTGTCAAAAATTATCATTATAGATACATTTTTATATCAAATTAATAATTTGAACATTTTGTTGGTTAATCATCTAATACACAATCTATCACCTTTATTTATTTATTATTCCTTTTTCTGTCATTTATCGCACATTCGAATATGAAAGTATTGTTACTGAATTAATCAAACTATTGAAATTTAAACTGGATAAATGAAGAAAAATAGCAGGACAAATTAGGCGATTTACACGTTAGATAATGATTTTATGCTAGTACCCATCACTTTGTCGTTATTTCTTGATGATTTTATTTAGGAAGCTTTATTTTATTTATTTCTTTTAGTAACCGGAGCTAATGGGCTTGTGGGATATTAAAACAGTAATGCATCATATAATTTATGTAGTTTTTAATTGGCGGAATCCTGAGACAGCGAGCGATTCCGAGTTAGAACAATTTTTTGATGTTTTTCGGGTGAAAACAGATTGTTGTATACACAAGGGAGGGAAATGCATATAAGGTATTTGCGTATTAACGCAACCACCTTGGCACAGTTTGACAGTTGTTTACAGATGAAAAGGTACTTATTAGGAGCAAGCTAGAGATTTTCGTAGCATTCTTTCAACCAATAGCTGATTTATCGATATTTATCGTAAAACACACTTTAACAATTTAAAATATTGGATTTTTTTATTTAATAAGGATTATGCGATACATTAAACAATAAAGCACCTACATGTTTCGCCAAAATCTTCTGTAATTTTTTGCGCTGTTTTTCCATGTGCGCATCGATCTGTTTTCGCTCAAAAACATTTGAAAATTCCACAAACTCGGCATTGCATATCAGATGTGTACCAAACACAGATATTTGAGATAAAACAACATTGGAATTTCTT